TGTGCAGCGCCTGGGCGGCCCAGGGAAGAGACCTTGGAGGTGCCTGCGGCCAGCTCTGGCAAGGCACTTGCACTTGAGAGGTGCTTGCGGCCCAGGAACCCAGGAAAGGCATTTGGGCCCACGGGAGGCCCGGAGGCCCCGGGCGTGCAACCCCGGGAACTCCAGCAACTGCAGAGGGGGGGACCGACCACAAGGGAAGCCTTCCACGAGAAGCGCCACCCCGAGACCCCAGGGCGTCCGTCGATCCCTGGCGTGGGGGCGCCACGCTCCCCATGGCAGAGCCCTCGGAGCCCGAGAAGCCCGGGGCACCCTGGAGGCAGGCCGGGTGCTCCGTGGCGTGCGCCCCCCACTCTGGCCATCGCTCGGGCGTCCATTCCCTGTGTTTTTGTTCGGCTTCGTGCGTGGCTTTCTCGCCAGATGATCAAGGATGCTCCTCGATGGTCCCCACCGAAGGAAAAATGCACACGTCCGAGCGATGGCCCGGGGGCCCGAGCCAGAGGCGTGGGGGGGCTGGACGCTCGAGGCCCCGGGGCCTGGCCTCAGGTCGGGCATGTCCCCCTACGGGGCGATGCTGGACGAAGCATGGAACATACCCTCAAAGATACACCAAACTTGCAAAACAAATAGTCGAACAACCGCCCCCCGACAATTTCCTCACTATTTTCGAAGATTCCTCCCGTAGAGGGCCACGCCCGACTTGAGCCTGGCCACGGGCTACTCGGTGCAATTCTTTGGGGTCGCCGCAGGGCGTTCGACTCCTGCGACGAGGGGCCGAGACTGGCACAAACATGGGACGCACAAGAGCATACAAAAACTACATGTCCTCCTTGGAGGCGCGCGTCCGACCCGAACATATAGTATACGCATCTTATAGTATGTCGTTTCCCGAACGATGTGGCCAGAAAGCGCCCGCGACAACGCATATACTATAAGATTTCCCAGCGCTCGCGTCGCCCCTGAGGGGGCGACGCACATATAGTATTCAGGTCGAGCATGTCCTCTACAGGCAGACTTTGGACGGACAAAAATAAAACTATACTCCAAAATAGTCCAACATACTAAACAAAAAAGCGTTCCCTGCCTATTTTTGACAATTTCTGAATATTTCTCCTGAAGAGGAACAAGACCCGACTTAAAAATGGTAGAAGTATGTTGGGGTGGCGCCGAAAACAGGCTGGAACCACACTGGGCCCTCCGAGCGACGATGGGAACGTGTCCCTGACATTGCCTCCTGAGGGGCCAATGCTTAGGTTGGGCGTGTCCCCCTACAGGCGGATTTTAGGCGCAGAAAATCAAAAATATTCAAAACATACCCCCAAATAGTCAAAACGAATCCAAAAATAGTCCCCAGACTATTTTTGTGACTACTTTTGAATATTCCCCCTGTAGAGGGACAGGCCCGACTTAAGCCAATGTCCCACCACCACTCCCATAACAAACACACACGATCGCGTCGTTACAGAGATCAGCATGGGAAATTTGGGGCCGTCTTCGGCCTCGGGGGGCCTCGCCGGGCCTCGGGACCGTCAGAAGCGGCTCGGGACGGTAGAGGGAAACAATTAGTGAACACCCCCCCTGCCCCCCAAACTCAAGGTTGGCACGCGCGGGGGAGACTGCGGTCGAGGTGCAACTCATAAGACCCACCGCCAACTTTGAACATTGGGGAGAGGGGGAGGCGCTCACAGCTGAATGTGGCATGAATGTTCGCTATTTTTTCCAAGGCCTGGATGAAAAGCCTGTCCTGGGGCAAAATCCACAGACCCTCCTAGAAGCCGGGAGCACTGGCAGACGCTTTCTGGTCGAGGCGGGGATGTTAATCTGTTATTGTGATCTGTGCGTTTTGTTGTAATGGGCTTTGTTCCCAACCATCCTGTGGTGCTGGATACTCGTTTTGAAGAGATAGCACACCGCGTCTCCTCCTCTCATCCTTCCTTCTCTCCTCCGCTCTCCTCCCATCATCATCGTCATCATCAACATCACCATCCTCATCAACATCTTCATCTTCATGTTCATGTTCATCATCATCATCATCATCATCATCATCATCACCATCATCATCATCCTCATCATCATCCTCATCAGCATCAGCATCCCCATCATCATCCCTATTCCCATCCTCATCCCCTATCATCATCACCAACGCCATCATCATCATTATCACCATAATCCTCAGCATCATCTTCATCAGCGTCATCACCATTTCGATATGCTCATCATCGCCAGCATCGCCATCAGCATCAGCATCAGCATCATAATCATCATCGTCATCAGAATCATCATTATCATCATCACCATCACCATCACCATCTCCATCTCCATCACCATCACCATCACCATCACACTCAACATCACCATCACCATCTTCATCATCATCATCATCATCATCATCATCATCAGCATCAGCATCAGCATCAGCATCATCATCATCATCATCATCATCATCATCATCATCATCATCATTATCATCGTCACCATTATCATCATCGCCGTTGTCATCGCCAGCCTCGCTATCATTGTCAGCATCACCATCATCGCCATCATTATCGTCGTTATCGTTACCATCATCGCCACGCATGTCGGCACACCCCTCACACGTTTCGTGGTCCCACAGGGAGCTCAACCGAAGGCCCCAGCAGCGTTCCTCGCATTCGTCTCCCCCACCCAATACTGCGTTTCGTGGCCCCATGAAGAGCTCTACCGAAGGCCCCAGTGGCGGTGTTCGCATGCGTTTCCCCCTCCCAGCACAGCATTCCGTAGCCCCATAGGAAGCTCCACCGAAGGCCCCAGAGGCGGTGTTCGCATGCGTCTGCCCCACCCAGTTCAGCGTTTCGCTGCCCCGTATGGAGTCCCACCTAAGGCCCCAGTGGCGGTGTTCGCATGCGTCTCCCCCGCCCAGTACAGAATTTCGTGGCCCCCTAGGGAGCTCCACCGAAGGCCTCAATGGGGTTGTTCGCATGCGTCTTCCCCGCCCAGGGCGATGCTTCGTGGCCCCATAGGGAGCTCCACCGAAGGCCTTCGTGGCGTGGTTCGCGTGCGTCTGCCCCACCCAGTACAGCGTTTCGTGGCCCCACGCGCTCCAGCGTACGGCTGGACTGAATGACTGGTGGGGAGCTCCTCCGAAGGCACCAGAGGCGGCCACGCTCCATTGCGGCCCACCCCTCACACATTTCGCGGCCCCGTGGTAGGATCCACTTGAAGCCCCAATGGCAGCACCTTCATGGCGGTCCCGCCTCATATCGAGACACCCTTCCCATGAGGAGGTCCCCCGAAGGCGATACCGTCAACGACGTTACTCACAACTGCACGTGGTTGGGTCCTGCGCCAAGATAATATTACTCATGCGGCTGCGATGGTTGCCATCGGTCAACCGCACAAGTCAGCGAACCAAAATGGCCATATGAAAATAATCCGCGGAGCAATCCGCTGACAATCCGCACCTAGAAGCGCAATCCGCGGCCCCTGGTCCATGCATGCCCCTCCCCCCCCCCCGCAGGCCCAGGTGCGAAAGACGAGGTCCGCCCATGCCGAGGCTCTGGCTCGAAAACTTCTGATCGGGCGGGGAAGGAGAGTGGTGGGGGGAAGCATTTGGGAGGAGGGGGGGGGATGTGGAGGAGGGGTGAGGATTCGGAGGAGGGGGGGGGGACTGGAAGGATCCGCCCGCCCGCCTGCGGGTAAACAGGGATCTCTACGATTGCTAGGCCCACGTCTTCTAGGCTGCTGCCTCAGTGGGTCGCGGTCGGTCGGTCGGCCAGTCAGTCGGTCGACGGTCGTCGTCGTCGGTCGTCGGTCAGTGGGCGACGGTCGTCGTCGTCGTCGACGGCGGCGCGGGCGGGCGGGCGGTCGTTGTCGCGGGTTGATCGGTCGGTCGGTCGGCTGGCCACTCGGTCGGTCGGTCCGTCTTCGTCGTCGGCTTCGTCGTCGTCGCCGGTCATGAATAATGCTGATATATTATGTGCGTATGCTACACATGGTGATCATCGCGGCGCGCCGACAATTGCTGGGATCATGATCTGCATTCGCTTCCCATTACTAGCCAACGCTGAGAATACTTTTCGGGGCGAACTGTCCATCGTCTGTCGCCCACGCCATCTGTTTCATGAAGAGAGCTGTCTGAGCAGCTGAGATCTCCTTGACGGGAGGGGCGCGCAAACCACTGTGGAAGCCAGCATCCATTCTGCAATCGCGTCCTCTGCTTGTGATCGCTGCCTCGGTATCTCCCGCAAGAGTTCGTATCCAAGTCCGCTCCCCACGCACACGCTGCTCATGCTTTCCTGTACCTGTCGTCCTGGCGGTGCAACTCTACGACAACTCAAGACACACGCGTATCGGCCCGACGGAGCCGAACAGGCTTACGTTGTCCATGGGTGCATGGCTGAAGAAGAACTCCGTGCTGCAATGTCAGGCTGCTTCATACTCACGCTACGGAACAATTACGGTCAGGAGCGGTTGCTTGGCGTGTCGCGGCGGCGGCCCCAGCGACATGATATGCCTTGCAAGCGGATAGCGTGTCGCTCCGCTCTGCGGGGTGGGAGGCTCAGACAAGCTCTGGACGCCGACGCTTGGGGACTGGGACACGGTCAGTGCGTCGCCAGCGGCGCGAGCCAAAGTTCCCGAACGTATCGCTGATCACCCTCACTGGCGCACCTCGGTGTGAATCGGCCGAAGCGTGCACCTCGTATCCCTTCGTCGCGCACACATTATGCTTCTGCCGAGTGTGACTGACGCGGAGTTCGCGCACCCTCCGACATACCGCCCCGGACCTCCAACGTCTTGGGACAAACTTTCGGGTGCTTTGCTATTTCTCGTCCTCCAGAGGGGGGAGTCCCGCGGGCCCTCCGAAACGTCACACACTACTCAGAATTACCAATGCGAAGGATCCAACCATATGCAGCTGTGAACAACGCTGCTGTCGATCGAGATTTCTCTGCAACTGCCGGCCGATGAGATCAATAGCTCGCGCCCCCTGCCAACGAGAAGCAATCAGATCCAAGCAGGGCAGCAAGCGGCTCCCAGAGGCGGGAGCGGCAGCTGCAGAAGCCGCATCCGGGCTCCTTCATGCCCGACAGCGCCTTCATCATGTCCTTCCCGGCCACCGTCCTGCTGGACTGGGGGCGGAATCCCACCAACCCTCTGGGCGCAAATTACGGCCGCGTGTCGCAGCGGCGGCCATGGCGACATGATCTTCCTTGCCAACGGACTAGCTTGTCGCTCTGCTCCGCAGGGCCGGAAGCGGGGCAAAACTCAGGACACTGACGCTTGGAAATTGGGGCGTGCTTACCGTGTGGCGCCGAAGCGTGGTGGGCCAGAACCGGCGAAGCGACACGTTAATCATAAGCTCTGACAACGCTTGGGAAACCAACTCCTTCCAAATTATCGATTTTCCGCTTCGCGTAAGAAGATTTACCCCGCTTGCCCCTTTCCCCTGCGCCCTCCCTAAGGGAACGCACATCGACGGATGCTGCGAGGATTCCGAACACCCCTTTGGGCGTGTCTTCTGTCACCAAACAGTGCTTGTGCTTAGGGCTTCGAGTCTCTTTTCTGAGGAACTGCGGCTGCGGGCCGCTCTGGCCGCCATGTGGCCGTCGCCACCGCCCGTCGCCGCCCGAAACCTGGGCGTACGGGCCGCTCCAGCCGCTACGTGGCCGCCGTCGCCGCCTCGTCGCCGCCCGCCGCCTCGTCGCCGCCCGTCGTCTGGGCACTGTGTTGCCATCGAATTCAGGTGCAATCGCTCTACGTTGCACTGCATTGCATTATGTTGCTTTGAACTGCTCTGCATTACTTTGCGTTGCGTTGCGTCGATTCCCGCTACACTGCATGGCAACACATTGATTTACATTGTTTTCTTTGCGTTGCTTTGCACTGGTTTGCATTGGTTTGCATTGCTTTGCACTGCACTGCGTTCTGTCTGCATTGCTTTGCATTGCGTTGCATTGTGTTGCATTGCGTTGCATTGCTGTGTACTGCTGAGAATTGCAAAGAATTGCAAAACATTGTTTCGCATTGCGCTTCATTGCTTCGCAGTGCTTTGCATCGTTTGCATTGCTTTGCATTGCGTTGCCCTGCAATGCATTGATTCGAATTGCGTCGCATTGCATTGCGTTCGTCTGCGCTGCTTTCCACTACATGCGCATCATGGATTGCGCCGCCTAGCTCGCACCACGTGGATTATCAACTCTAAAACCATATTCGGATCTACCACGACCACCCGCATTTACCGCTCACCTTTCCGTATCGTACATCCGAAGTAGAGACTCATAACATCCCGGCCACACTTGTCACGCCCCACCTCATCCTGTGCAAATAAGTATGCGCGAACACTCGTCTATACAAAAAATCACAGGTGTTGCAAGAACCCCTGTGCGAAAGACTGGGCGAGGTGCGCACGCGCAAATCGTCGCGCGCATGCCGGAATCCTTCTAAAACAATTGGTTGCGTAAGGGTTTCAATTTCGAGTGTACCGACACCATTAAATAAAAAACATGGCCTCGAACCCACATTTATCAACAAATATTGCCCGCACATCTTTGCTAACTCTTCAAAGCACCGTGCGTTTTTTCATAACTTCCATGTTTTGTTACCACGTGGGTTCGTTTTTCGCGCATGTCCAAATCTTTCGAACGCCCTTACGCGCGTGCTGTCGCAAGAATCCCCTGCAAAAGACTAGACGAAATGCACACGCACGCGTTGTCGCGCGCGCATGCCGAAATCTTCCAAATCCGACGTTTCGGATGGAAGTCAAGATCGAATGCCCTGAGCATTTCAAAGGCACATGACTTTGCAATATCAACCTCCAACAAGCATGCGCTCGCGCTCTTGCGAACTGTCAGCAAAATCCCAAACTCTTCACGGTTTCATGACATTCGGCCAGACAGACCTTTTCGCGCCGCATGTCGACATCATTCGAACGCCCTTTACGCGCGTGCTGGGGGGAGGGCACGGCCCGTGTCAAATAACACCATGCGGGCCACTTTCGCGCGTCGGCCGCGCGCGCATGTCGAACTCCGTCCACAACATTCATCACCGACGCGAGGACGCCATCATCGTCATCGGCGTGATCAAAGTCGGCGCCGTCACTGGCCGCACCGTCGACGTTGTCATCCTCGTCGCCAACGTCGCTACTTTCATCATCGTGTGTACCGTTGTCGACGTTGCCACGATACCCCGCCCGCTCAAATGGCCGACTCGCGCTGAAGCGCCCGCGGGGAAATGCCTAGAGGTCAGCGCGACCGCGGCCGCCAAGGTCGCGCCAAACTAGCTGGCCGCTGCGCGGGCGAGCATGCGCGGGCGAGCGCGGCCGCAGAGATGCACCAGCCAGCACCAAGCACTCATCGCAATCGCCGCCGCATGCAAACCAATTTGCGGGAGGGTGGGTGGGATCTTCGTGGGCCCCGGAAACGGCAGGGCCGTTTTGTCACCGTTTCCAAAAAAATGCCCCTTGAAAATGGAAATGGCAACAAAAACGGCGACCGGAAACGTCACAAAAACTGCTCCAGGATTGGAACCGGAGCCGGAACCGGTCAAAAAACGGCGACGGAACCGGTAAAAAAACGGCGTTGGAACTGGCAACAAAAACGGCAAAACGGAACCGGTAAAAAAACGGCCCTGTCGTTTCCAGGGCCCACTAAGGGTGGGACGACCGTGCGAGCAATGGGATTGACAACTGCGAGTCCCGCAGTTGAATTGCACGACCTAGCCTGCACCACGTCACAATTGGGGGGACCCACGCTGGCCAAGTACTGCTTCCCCCCACACTCTGCCGCAGCTGCCCTCCAACATGGCCCCTGCATGGCCCAACAGGCACTTCGCAGGGCACAGCGTGTCGACTTCCCGACCGCAGATGGGGCCCCTACACAGCACAACCAACGGTGCACCAGCAGCCTGTCCTGAATATGAATGCTGCTCTCCGCTACCTCGGTTCCTCCTCCGCCTCGCCCTCCTCCTCAACCGCCGCTTCCTCCTCCTCCGTCCCCTCTCCTCCTATTGATATGTTTTGTTCCCCCTCCGCATCCTCCGCCTACGTCCTTCATCTCGTCTTCAACGCCTTTCCTCCACCGTCTCTTCCTCCTCCCTCCCTCACGGAACACTATCCTTTCTGATTCTTATCTACAAACATCAACAAACTCTTCCCGACCTCACAGGAATTATTCAACTTGCATCAGCGAATCACCTGCGTAAATCCATCCTGTGTTTATCAATGTTTCGAAGGGCACCAACTCGACAATTCAAGATGATCTATCCCGTCACGTGTGAATTTCGACTAGGGTGGCTGCCCGATGGGGATGGCAATGTCAGGAGTTTGCGGGAACCGACGCGGGCGGAGGTTTGAACTTTAGTTGTAGGTTCTCACAACAGCCACGAAAAAACACCGCGCAAGAGCGACCCGCAAAAAAAACGAAGCACCCCCCATGCAGCGGAAGGCACCCGAGACGTGGTTTCAAGGACTGTTGCCTGGGCTTGCACGAACTGATTGCTGCAATCTGTCGAAGCATGCCGCCGGAAGGGCCTCCGACTGTCGCAGCACGGGCGGGCCTCTCCGCCATCAACCTCACCGAAACAATGTTCTCTGGGGACTCTCTCCCGTGGCTCCCGTCTGGCCCGACGACGCTGCCTCCCGCGAGAAGGTGTGGCACTTGCCGGTCCAGGCGCCATCGTGCAGGAACTGCAAGTCGTGGAGGGAATGAGTGTAAGAGGAGAAGTGCCCAAAAACAGAAGAAGTGCAGAAAAGAAACGGGTCCGAAGTCTTGTGTTGCATCTTCGGGGGCCCTTCGCTGTCCCGTCGCGCCGATATCCATGTCGAATCCGTCTCGAGCCTGTCGAATCTGTGTCGAATCCGTGTTGAAACCGCGTAAAATCCGTGTCGAATCCGTGTCGAATCCACGTCGGATCCGCGTCGTACAAAAAACTACTGCCATTTACAGGACAGGAGAGGTCCCCCGAAGATGCAAAGTACTCCGAATCCCTTACTAATCGACCCCCCTAAAATACTGGACCCCCCTCCAACTGCGACCTGATATTCTGGACCCCCCTCTTCGACGGGGCGCCTTACTAAACCGGACCCCCTAAGCTCCAATCCAAAGAAAGCGTTTTAATAAACCGAAACCCCCCAGTTACAAAAAAGGCGCCTTAAAAAACCAGACCCAAGAGACGATTAATAGGGGATTCGGAGTAAGGTCCCCATGGCGTTCCCTGGGACGTCGCTTCCATCCTGAACACTTTGATTGATGGCCGCGGGAGTCTGGGGAGGGCCCCGAACGCAGAACATGGTGTTTTTCGACTTCGTGCTGTTGTCATTTTCCCTCGTTGTCTTCAATCCACCTTTGCTGCAAAACGGAGTCGAAACGAAAACGGCCCAGATAATCGCCTAAAAGCACCGATTAGGCCGATCCGTGGCATAACATATTTACACTCTCAGAGATCCGCGCGGCCTTCCGAAAATAAATGTGTACGCGATGCTTTGTCACCCGAAGAAGTAGAGGCCTCCTAGATGGAGTCGGAGTGGATGGGTTCCGAGGATCGCGCCGCATTGGCGATGCATCGCCGATGTATCGGGGATACACTGGCGACGCATCGTCGACGTCGGCGAGGCATGTGGAGAACATCGGACTGCACATCGAGCCGCCTGGGCGATGCATCAGCGATGTGGTGCGATCCTCCGACCCATCTATTCCGACCCCATCCAGGAGGCCTAGAATTGTTTTTTTGCTCTTCCGCAGGCAACAGCCAACGAGGACCAACTATCACGAGCAAGGCCCGGAAGACAGCGAGGCTGTGTGGATATCCCCATTGGCCTAATGCGGGATGACGATTCATAAAACAAATGGGAGAGAACGATTAAAAAATAGTCTTCTGCCATTTCTGCATAGTTTTCTGACTGGAGGAGAACGATTAAAGAAATAGTTTTCCAGCCCGCGGCCGGTTTTTTCTAATCGTCATCCCGGGCGCCGCCGCGTGAACACGACCCCCGGTCATTTATTAATCGTCATCCTCCATTACTCAGCCAGTCGCCTCCCCTCTGGCGTCGTGGAGGGCAGGAGGAGCAGCCTGTCCTGGAGATCCAGCCCTGCACTGGCCCGCTGCCGTCGAGCAGCCGGACGCGCCACCTGCGGCGGCCGGCGCTCGCGGAGAGCGCCCCCGCCGCCCCTGTCGTGGATCATCCCGCACGACGCAAGTGCACGCGCCTGGATCCATGCCTGCGCTTCCTCGACTGCCCACAACTCGAAAGACGCAGGTGGCAACATGACGTGGGCAGGCGGATCAAGCAGATTGGGCTCGGGCCCGCCAAGAGAACGACAGAGCGCTGCTCAGACATATCGATCCTGAAGCAGGAAGGCGCTTGAAGCAGATTGGGACCTGGGGATCCACGGAAACCTACTTCCAACGATCGGCGGCGAGCCTTGGGGGAAGTGAGAAGGGGCGGGCCTTCTGATAAAGGCACGGCAGTCCTCCCCAGGCTTTCTGAATCCTTTCCCAGGCCTTCCCCGAGGACAACCAAAACACTTCTCAAAAGGCGCGAGGGCTTCTGAGAAGCCCCGCGATCTTCTGAGACAGCGTGACCCCTCTCGCTCCCCCCCCGAGCTCGCCGCCGAACAAAGACATGGCGCGGATCGTCCGGGCACGACACATCATCCCGCACCCCATCGCGGACCATCCCGAAACAGAGACATGGCGCCCCACGGTCGGACCTAGGACAGAAGCATCCTTCAAGAGACAGCGCACCGCGTCTCCGCTCCTCTCCTTCCTCCTCTTCTCCTTCATCCTCCCATCCCTGCCTCTGCCCTCCGCACCCAGTACCACGCTTCGTGGCCCATAGGGAGCTCCACAGGGGGCCTCAGCGGCGGTGTTCGCATGCGCTCCCCCCGCCCAGTACAGCGCTTCGTGGCCCCATAACGAGCTCCACCGAAGGTCCGGCTGGCGATGTTCACATGCGTCTACCCCGCCCAGTACAGCGTTTCGTGGCCCCATAGGCATGCGTCTCCCCCCACCCAGTACACCATTTCGTGGACCCATCAGGACAGGACCCCCACCGACGGCCCCTGTGGCGGTGTTCGCATGCGTTTCGCCCGCCAATTTCAACGGTAGGCCCCAATGTCGGTGTTCGCATGCGTCTCCCCCACCCAGTGCAGCGTTTCGTGGCCCTATAGCTCCACCGAACGTCTGAGTGGCGGTGTTCGCATGCGTTTCCCCTACCCAGTACAGCGCTTCGTGGCCCAATCTGGGAGCTCCACCGAAGGCCCCAGCGGCGGTGTCCGCATGCGTTTCCCCCACCCAGTGCATTTCCCACACACACACACACAATACAACGCTTCGTGGTCTCATGTGGGAGCACCACCGACGGCCCCAGTGGCGGTGCTCGCATGCGCCTCCCCCGCCCAGTACAGCGCTTCCTGGCCCCATAGGGAGCTTCACCGAAGGCCCCAGTGGCGGTGTTCACGTGCGTCTCCCCCACGCAGTACAGCGATTCGTGGCCCCACTGGTAGCTCCACCAAAAACCCAAGTGGCGCTGTTCGCACGGCGGCCCCGCTCTATTTCGGCACACCCCTTACTCGTTTCGTGGCCCCATATGGAACGCCACCGAATGCCCCCATGGCTGCGCCTGCATGCGTCCCCGCTCCATGTCGGTACTCCCTTTGCGCGCCTCGTGGCCTCAAAAAGAGAACCACCGAAGGCGATATCCACAACGGCGAGGGGGAGGAATCATGGAGTCATGGGTCCAGGAAGTGCACGGTGCACACCGCGCGCAGGCGGGCCGCAATGGCAGGCGACCGGCCTCCCCAGCCTCCCCAGTAATTACGGGAGGGAGCGGGCCCGAAGGCGCGCGCACCGACGAACAAGGGATAGGCAGCTACCTCGTCGCCCAGCGACTTGCACCAAGCCGAGAAGGCGTGGTGCGTAGGGGGGCAATCGGTTCATCTCGTCACTGCGAGGTAATTCCCGATTATCACCCCCCCCAATCAGCTGGCATGCGCAATTGGGTCTGCCCCCCCGGGTGAGCGGGCGCACGGCCACCATGGGACTTACGGGCCACATGGCCCCGCCTCTCAACCAAATGCGTAATCCTCCGTGCCTCGTACCGAACTCCAGGTGACGGAGCGTGGCTAACGCCGCTGCCACGGGCAAACTGCCACGCGGCTGGTTCAAAAGGCACGAGCCGGTTTAGCTGCCCCCAGTCGCCGCATGCAGTCGACTCTGACAGTGTGCCCCGAGGAGCGCGTGGCGCTGACACCATGAGAACTGGTGCCAGGCCCCCACCCTCGGGGCACGGCGAGGGGGAGGAGGAAGAGGAGGAGGAGGAGGAGGAGGAGGAGGAGGAGGAGGAGGAGGGAGCAGGAGGAGGAGGAGGATCTGAAGGTGACCGATGACTGCTGATCAACGTCTGGCTTGCACCCGCCCGGCCTCGCGCCCTTCTCGTCCAGCTTCTCCACAACGGACCTCTCCTCGAGTCGGCCCAGCTCTCGTGAGTCCAGGCTGCTGGCTTCCTGGGGGCGGGCGCCGGGGGGAGGTGGGGGGGGCAGACAGATGGAGCGAGGGACGCGGACCGACCGAGGAAGGAGGGAGTATCCACTTGGTCTCCACCACTTGTCAGCGCCCCTCGGGGCGAGCTTCACCATCGTAGCTGTCCCAGTACGCAGCGCGCAAGACGCAGCGCACCGATACAGGACGCAACACGTAGACTGTAAACCCACGTCTGACGCGAAGACGTTCGCCCAAACGTGGGCCAGTACGTTAGGCCAACACGCAGGCGTATTGGCACGGACGCTGTGAGTTTTGAGCATGGGCGCGGGGCGCGTTGCGTTTCAAAACGGGCGTATTTAAGACAGCTAAGCTCACCGTGCTGCGCGCGCCTCCACCCCCCAGGGCCTTCGGGCCACGGAGGAGGAGATTGGCGGCTTTGGAGGAGGAGGGGGACTTGGAGGAGGAGGAGGAGGAGGAGGAGGACGAGGAGGGAGGAGGAGGATACGGGGAGGAGGAGGAGGAGAGGAGGAGGAGGAGAGGAGAGAGGAGGAGGAGGAGAAGGGGAGGAGGAGGAAGGAGGAGGAGGAGGAGGAGGAGGAGGAAGGAGGAGGAGGAGGCATCATCTGTGCCTCACAGGACGGGCACGGAGGGAGCGGCAGGGCGGGGGAGAGCCCGAGAGCGGGAGGCGAGAGGAGGAGGCAGTGGGGTCCCTGGAGGAAGATGGAAGTTGGAGTCCCCCCGGTGGGCAGAGGAGGGCAGGAGTGGGATGAGGGGGATGAAGGGGAGGAGGAGGACGACGACGACCGCGGCGACGAGGAAGAGGGCAATAGGACGACGAGGGCGAGGGCGAGGGAGAGCGAGGAGGGAGTGAGGGAGGGAGGGAGGGAGAGGGAGGGAGGAGGCGGGAAGGCCTGGAGAAGGATGGATCGCGCAGGAAGGGAGGAGGGAGGATCGCGTTCTCAAAGCCGCTCTTGCTCATCATCCTCGTCCTCGACCATGTCCTCGTCCATAGTTATCTCTCTGTCTCTCTTTCTCTTTTTTTTGTTTCTCTCTCTCTCTCTCTCTATCTCTCACAAGAAGACGAAGAGGATGATGGAGGAGGGGAAGCCTGGGGCCGAACTGGAGGCGGGAACGGCTGGCGCAAGGTCGCACTCGCAGGTGGGGGCCGTCTCCTTCACCAGGAGACCGCTCTTGGGCACCACTGTGAACAGGCACCCCCGCCCGCCGATCTCCAGCTGCTCCAGGAAATTCGCCTGCTCCCTCTCAAAGAACGCCTCGATCCCAGAAAGGCGCACCGCGGACCCTCGGCACACCACGCCCACACTTCCGGGCCGGAGGAGGGGGACAGACGACACCCGAGGACGGGGCTCTCCTTCCTCGTGCTCTCTCCTGCCGCTCTTGTCTGCGCCTCCCCTCCGCACTCCTTCCGTCGCTGGCTCGCGCCCTCTGCTTCCCGCACCGCCCACCCACAGTCCTCCTTCCATTCTCATGCCTTCATCCTCCTTTCCTTGGTGGGCCCTGGAAACGACAGGGCCATTGTTTTACTGGTTCCGTTTTGCCGTTTTCTTGCCGGTTCCGACGCCGTTCCTTTACTGGTTCCGTCGCCGTTGTTTGACCCGTTCCGGCTCCGGTTCCAATGCTGGAGCCGTTGTTTTGCCGTTTCCGGTCGCCGTTTTTTGGCCGTTTCCATGTTCAAGGGACATTTTTTTGGAAACGGTGAAAAAACGGCCCTGCCGTTTCCGGGGCCCACAAAGCTCCATTCCTCATCCCCTCCTCCCTGCTGGACAATGAAGAAGAAACAACCACCACCGCTGGGCCGAGAAAGCCTCTTACGACGCCACAAAGGCCGACCCTGACCCCCCCCCCCAGCGATGATGAGCTGCAGGCGGCACTCGAAATCAGATGCCAGGCGCAGGTCATCACCGCTGGGGGGTCAGTGTTGGCCTTGGGGGGGAGCGCCAGGGGCGGTTCCCTCACCCCAGCGGTGTGATTCTCTTCGTCGACCATGACCTTCCTCATCATCACCCGCACATCGCTCCGGCGGCGAGCAGGCCTTGATCTGCGGAAATCTGGCCGCAATCTCGAAGCCGATCCTGGATACGACCTGCTCGATCGGCAAGTGCTTCCTGCCGCGGAACCTCGCCTCGGGCCAGCTGCCCAAATGGCAATGCATCAAACGTAATCTTGAAGCGCCGCGCGTACAAGAAATCCGCCGACCCTGTCGGCGTGTGTGAGGGGCGTTTCCGTTCGAGCCGTCATCTCCGTCATTCTTTGTAATCGTCGTCTCTGTCGTTCCCTTTCCCTGGTACCCCTCTTCCCCTGGGCTCCTCCCCGCTCCCCTCGCCCTTTCCCAGGGCCTCCTCCTCAAGCGCGCTAGCCAAACCGACCTTCAGCAACGTCGTAATTGATTCGAAGGGAAGCCCCTTCCCTTTCCCTTCCCCGACGGGGGGGGAGGGGGGGTCCCGGGGGGGGTCCCGGGGGAGTCCCGGGTCAGATACGCGGCCCCCCCGTACCGACCTTGAGCAACGTCGTAATTGAGTCGAAGGGAAGCCCCTT